CATAGTTTTATACAGTCTATGGCAGCAACAGTCATGTAGGAACACATGGAAACAAATCTAACAGGTCAATAGAATAAATATTACTCCTGATATCACAATACTGAGTAAAGACAGTAAAATTATGTAAGCATGAAGAACACAGACATCAGTATCAATCATTCATCCTGCTCTCCGAGTAGACTTACTGTATGCAGATCGGCTACCTCAGCTACATTTTAAGTTGACCATTTAGACTACATACAAACAGCTTTCATTTTAGTTTCTTTTTAACGATTTGCTATTAGCCCTCCTACCGCTATGTACTAAACCTCAGCAGAGGTGAATGAGAGACTGCCAACAGAGCAGAGTGAAATATCGCCCTCTACGTGCTGAACACCTGTCCAAAAAGTAGCCTATTGGCTTTTTGCTGGCGAGGGTTTTATTGCACTTACTTAAAGTAACAAGCGTAGCTGTGGTCAGTAAGAGTGATCTTGGAGTTATACTCAATTCATCGGCACTGCGGCCTCTTTGCTGTTCTCTGAGTTCACTCCGTTTCATGTTTGTATGGTGCTGTGTGGTGGAGGTCAGCCCCGACATGCAGGAGCAGGAGAAAGGCTGCAGCATGATGATACATGAAACCAAAATTTTTAAAAGCAATGATAAAAGAACCAACAACATTGGGGCTTTTTAATACTACGGTCTTTATTAATTTTGCCCCGGGGCCATTAATACTGGGTTTTGGTACTTGGTATTCTGAGCTGGGCTATTCGCAGGTTGTCTCTGGGCTGGATCTGGCCTGTGGGCCGGATGAATAGGCCTGCTCTAGTGAGTCCTTTTGTTGCCTTGTTAGTGATGGGATGTTAGGTCTAATACAGGGGTGGGCCACATCAATTTTTATAAAGTCCTCAGAGGGCTATACTATTATGAACACATACAGATACAAAAAAAGTCTATAACCGCTGTGTTACTGAGCCTCATGATTGCTGCATTTCTACGCATGTCAGACTCACCTAATGCGATGGCTGGAACTGTTTCTCTGTGGCGAGGTGTCTGATGTCAGCTGGCAGTAATGATGATGCTACTCTAAGCTGGAAAACCAGCTTAGAGTATCAACAACTTGATTGAACAAATCCTCACCTTTAGTAGTGCCATGCATGGCTTGCAAAGACAGCAACTCCTCCTTCGTATCAAACTCGGCCGTTATCCCACGCACAAAAATGGCAAGCTGCGCTGTGTTTGTGATGTCTGTTGCCTCATCACAGGCCAGAGAAAAATACACAAAGTCTCTTGCAGTGTCCTTCAGTGTTTTTTCAATATCTTGTACCATATCAGTAATCCTGTCTGCAACGGTTCTTAGCGACAAACTGACACTTTGAAATAATTTCACTTTATCGGGCATGAGCAGCTCTGCGGCGGCTACAAGGCACTCCTTCACAATCTCTCCTTCGGCATGGGGTTTCAGCTTCTTGGCTATTAATTCACTCACCACAAAAATTGCGCGTGTAATATTCTCTCTGTCAGTCTGCGGTCTTGGGAAAGCTTCTTGTTGGGCACCCAAACTCTGACGAAGAGCGCTGATTTTATCCAGACGTATTGTCCTCTCAACTCGTCAAGTTTAGCATGTTTCGAGCTGTAATGGCGCTCGAGATTTGCCTTTTTCATCACTGCCAATGCCTCACCACAAAGTAGGCACACTGGCTAATTATCTATTTTAACTTTAACTTTAACTTCAACAAAGAAAAAATCATTTGTCCATTTTTCCTGGAATACGCAGCATTCGGCATCCACCTTCCTTTTTTTGACAGTCACCATGATGCATCACTTATCTATCCGTATTAATCACTCACTGCCACCGACTGTCATCGCGCAATGACACGTAAATCACATGCTGTATTCACTGACCCTGACGTTGACTTGGACATACATAGCCGTCCGTTTTATCTCAGAAAACTAATGGCTGTCGAAATGGGGTTTTTTTTCCTGATTTTTTATTTATTCATACTATAAGTGATATAAAATGTAAAACTTTTATTGTGTTGCGGACCAGTTGAAATGGTCCTACGGGCCGTATACGACCCGGAGGCCGGAGGTTCCCCACCCCTGGTCTAATAGATGAGAAAAAGCTTTCCATTGTTTGGATGTCCATTTCACCATGAGAGGAGTAGAAGTTCATTTCCTTTTTATTTTGCAATAATTTTACCATCTTTAGTATTTATGGCAGGGATAATATTTTTGATTTTTTTTTTCTGTTTCATACTGTAAGCCAAAAGCTTTCCAAAAAGCTTTTTCGTAATATCTCTGCGTAGTACAAAGCAACACTAATTTCATATTTTTATTTATGTAATATATTTCAGAATTCTGGCTGTGGCCATGTAATATACCGATTCTCAAGCTCTTCTCAAGGATTAATCTAATGCTGGTCAGCTCAGAAGCAACCTCCCCGGAGTGAGGTGCCTCCACATTAGTGGTGCTTGGTCTCTGTAGTTGGTGAAAGTTTTGATCGTTATGTGACAAATTAGGACTAAAATACTGACTTTTTTGAAGCCATTTTGGTTCAGTGGTTTATCCAGTTACAAAGTTAAGCATTACTGTCAACCACAACTTACTGTGAGAGAAGGGTTTTAAGTTTCGACTGAGTGCTCCTTCTCCCTGGCATCCATCAAGGGTGCATGTGCCACTGGAAGTCCTTTATTTTTCAGTTATCAATAGACATTTATATTTAATCATCAAAGTCAGTAAGCAAGAAATCAGATGATTGCTTGACATTCCTTCCATCCAGGATTACACACATGCACACACACACACACACACACACACTCTCTCTCTCTCTCTCTCTCTCTCGCTCTCTCTCTGTCTCTCGGCTCAGTTCAATTCAAAAGGCTTCATTGGCATGAACAAAAAATGTTTGTGCCAAAGCAGTTCACAAAAGAATTTAAAGCTAAAAATTACAAGTAGTGATATTTTTACATATATTACATACATTCATTCATTACATACTAGTCCATACCCGGGGATGTGTTATGTATAGAGGAATAAGAAATCAAAAACAGTATATTAGAGGAGAAGCAAAATCAGAGCACTGTAAATGCACTGTATAATAAATATTAATGTAAGACAAACAATGCACACTGTATTTAGAAACATGCTTTATGGCAAAATACGTGAAGCATAGTTTTGGCTGATGGCATGGAGGCACGTGTGTGCGCGGGCCGTGTCAAACCAATGCACACTGTATTTACAAACATGCTTTATGGCAAAATACGTGGAGCATAGTTTTGGTTGTCGGCACAGAGGCACGCGCGTGTGCGGGGCCGTGCGCGGGCACACAGGTACACACATACACATGCAACACGGAGAAAGAATGAAAGAAACAGTGCAAAGTGCACAGCGCAGTGTTTAGTTTGTAATGTTTGTAGGCTAATGTCAGTAAAGTGAAAATACGTAATGGCTGGCTCACGCACACAGACACAGACGCGCGCACACAGACGCGTGCACACAGACACAGAGGCGTGTTCGTTCAGTAAAATAATTACCTTAGTCTTCAGCAAGTGTTGGTGCTTGAAATTGCATGTCCCAAGTGGTCTCCGCGCATGCGCAGCTCGCAGTGCTAATGGTGCTCACAGTATGAATGGGTAGTGGAAACGCAAATATAAACACGAATATAAACAGTAGAAATGTGGGAAAAATGCAAAAACGGCATCGTGGCTGTCTGCACATGACCAAGATGAAAGCCTGTGTGCAAGTTCAGAGAAATAGGTCAAAGCACTGAGGAGGAAAACAGATGATGACAGAAGGAGGGACAGAGGTTTCTCCATTTAATAGTAGGATACATATTTAATATACAGGTGTCATGTACAGGTTCTAAATTATACTTCTGCTGTCCTTTTTGATATTATACAACATATATACAATAAAATACAACATATCACACTGCAGTTTTTATACAAATGAATACACTGATCTTAGTTGTCAGTGCCCCAGGTTGTGGCAGGTAGATACAGATGTAACTGCCAAAGGAGCTGTTGTCCCTTTATCCATCAGAACTGCCAGTTTCTCTAGTGGGGTTAATGTCAGGAAGTTTGGGATTTTCTTTGCTGTTTCTCCAAAATGAGAGCTTGTCACAGTGGAGTGGAGTGGTTTCCCTTACTCTCAATTCAGCAGGCTTTATTGGTATCACATTTGACATGTGTTGCCAAAGCACAATTACAATGAAATTGATAACAGATCTCATGAATAACAATCCTAGTCAATAGAGTAAAATAGATAATTAAATTAGTAATGATAATAATGACTCTTCCATGTGGAGACCTGCCAGCATTCAGCTATCATTCTCCTCAGCGAAGCATTGGTGCCTCAGTGGCTTTTTGTACAATGTCAAGAGAGTTCCTGTCTTGACTTCCATCCAATTAGCATCGCATCCTTTACCTGAGAGCTGCTTGCACAAGAAGTATTTGTTTTGCTATTGCTCAGTGAAAACAAAACACTTGACCTCTGACAATGTGCTCCTTCTTGTTCTTAGAACCTGGCTGAAAGCCATTTTATTTTTGCTCTCTGTGATTTGTTTTTGATGGACTCCACAATGCTTGTCATATCCTCATTAGCAAGCTACTCAAGTAGGGTGAGGTCAGCAAGGAGTTTTGACCAGTGATTGTTATGCAGAAACATAAAGCCTTTCAGCATGTGTTCTCCCAAAATCAATCTTTGCATGAATCTCTGTGGTGAAATGAAGAAGCTCTGTTCTTTTATGGTTAGAAAAATCTTGTGTGAAAATATGATTGACTAAATGCCTGTTGACCAGAATTGAGAGGAGCATGTTACTTTTCATTTACTGTTCTGTTTATGTGCTGCCACTGAGCTGAAAGGCCAAAATAAAATATATTCATATAAGACAGTAACCACTCTGTCTCTCCAATTAATTTTATTTTGGCCTGGTTCAGTGCAGACATGTTTTGTTATGTTGACTTTATCTGTAAAATGTATCCTGTTCCTTTTGTACCAATTTTCTCTCACCCCTTTTTCAGGGTCCTCCTGGACGAGCAGGCTTTCCGGTAACTGTCTATTTAACTTGTGTCTTTGTGTGGTATTGGCATGTGTATAGTTATCACTGCACTACTGATCTCTTGTCTGCTCTCTACTGAGTAGTTGTCTTGATTTAGATTTTCAAATGAGTTTAAATCATCACAGTGAAATTTAATCAAGCTGTAGTTTTCAGATGATGTCTCCAAGACGTTTTTTAAATCAGTGTACACATTTTCTTTTTTTTAACAACTCTGTCTCCAACAAAATACATCCATGTCCTACTAATTTCCCTTGCTAAATTTGTTTTAGAGAAGGAATTGCTGCATTGATTAAAGTGAGGCAATGTAGCTTTTGAAAGAGGACATAACACAAACTGCATATTACAAGTAAAAGGTTCAATTCATATTTTATCTGGGATGACCAAGTTTATAGTAGCTTGTAGTTACCTGCTTTAGCTACATATTGCTGTGTAAAATTATAAGTCAGATTGCCGAGCTATCTTGTATGAGTATGTTAACTTTTATGCTATAAAAGTTAACATACTCATCACTGTAACTTTCGAAGAAAGAAATGATACAACCTTATGTTACTGAACAAATGAAAAGTTCACATCATAAGCAATGCAACACATCCTTCCTGAAAGTCAATACACTCGGGGTTTTCTCTGCTGCAGCCTTCATCCAGTATGACAAGTAGCCTCTGGCGGCAAAGGCCTCAATCACACAAAGCGTTTTAGCAGCTGGAGGAGCTGCTTGTTGTAACTTTTTGTACTTGTTTTTTTAATGAGAATGAAGCTTTTTGTACTTGTTTTTAATGAGAATGAAGCTTTTTGTAATTATTTTTAATGAGAATGAAGCTTTTTGTACTTGTTTTTAATGAGAATGAAGCTGTTTGTAATTATTTTTAATGAGAATGAAGCTTTTTGTAATTGTTTTAATGAGAATGAAGTGTTTTGTAATTGTTTTTAATGAAAAATTAAGCTTTTTGTTATTGTTTTTAATGAGAAACTGGTGGTAGTGGTTGCTGGATACCCAGAGCTAAAAAAAAAACAAAAAAAAAAAAACAGTGCAGTGCACCTCACGTTTTGCAACCTGTTAAACACTTTATGTGTGATCGGGGCCTAATGTTAGCAGATGGCTGTTTTCTGCTTGTGGTTCCAATCCACTCCCTCTCAGTCAGATTACCCTGTGACATTTTTAAACAGTACAGGGGAGGAGTGACCTGTGGTAGCTTAATTGTTTTGCAAAATTATGCAACGTTTCAAATGGCTAGTTTTTTTTCTTCAAGTTGGCAAGCATTTTGTCATTGTGCAATGCAAATGTGTTTGACAATCACATTAATATATTTGTAGCTCAAAATAATGAATGGATTTTTGACATTATATGACCAGATGTTTGATCTAAATGCATCACTGTGTTAAGCTTTGCTCTCTGTAGTTACTCCATCAAAAACTAACTTTTATAAATGTCATCAAAAAATGCAAATAATGATGAAAAAGCCCCCCCAAAAGCCAAAAACAAGTAACAAACAAAACAGTTACAGCAACAATTACATTTTATAAATACATACAACATACTGTATACATACGGGCACATATATTTGTGTATGTCCATGCATAATATGTATGTACAGTAAATAATACAAATATACAGTATGACATACATAGAAGGCATATACATACATACATAGGCTACTGTACATACACACCATTCTACACGTATAAAAATGAGATTTTAGAGAGACAGGAGGACAAAGATGGCAAAAACATCATCAATTTATACAGGGTCTGAGTCAGGCCAAGACAGGACTGCTGAGCAGAGACACATCATCCTGGGTGTGGGGAGACCCATTGTTGACCCTCACATCCCCATTACCGTGGCTGGTAATGGTAACAGCATATCATATTAGACTGGATAACCAACTGGGCAACTGCTCATGTCAAAATGTGTGTTAAATTTAATAAATTAAATTACCACATAGCAAAACTAGTGCCAGGCAATGTGACAGCATAGAACAACACACAGTAGGAAGAATGGGGGTTAATTGGAGCCCATGTAACCCATTTTTTGCCTCAGTGCTGTTAATAGGTGCTGAAATGACTGATATTTTCCAGATGTGTTCAATAAATGTTTCCTCTCTGAAGATAAGAAAAAAATGAAATCTAGACAGGATTACAATCCATGCAGAATGTGCTTACAAATTATTTTTATATAAATGATTTGTAAGGAAACAGGGTTGCACTGAAGTAGATGTGCACTTTACCATCTATAAAAGGCTCGTAATAGAACTCCAATGTGTCCATATACATTCAACATGGAATTAAAAGTAGTAAAACAGTCTAATTCTTTATTTCTATGATCACTTCTCAGTTTAGAAACCTTCCAGATTTCAGTACAGCAGTGGAACTGAGTGCTTCCAGCTTCCAAACCTTAACACTACCTATTCATACCACCATGAGCTGTTGGCTGGATTGTGCCATGGCCTCTTGGTTGTTTTTATTTATTTTTTTCTGCTACAGCTTGAATGGAATTCTTATGCACTCTTAGTGACCAAATCTGCTTCTGTTTTATCATATCTACCCCTCTTCAGTCTAACACTCTCCTCCTCTTTCCGCTGAGCTAGCAGTCTCAACATGTCAAACCCATGGTTCCTATCATATCACCAGCTGGCCATCTAGTACCTGGCCTTTGTCCCCAGTAGTCAGGTACAACCGGCAACCCCCCGATTTGGTTCTGACTAGCTCACTTGTGAAACAGGTCCATAAAACTGTGTCAAGCTGTGACTGGTTCCATGTTCTGTCCTATGTGTTTTTGCTGGAGTTCAGTAAAAACACTTTGACTGAATGGGGTTGGAAAATGTGGTGTTTGGAAAGAGAGCCTAAAGAACTGAAAATCAGGAAGCAGTGTTTTCCATAGAATGTGGTTATTTCAGAATTTGACATTAGAGGTCTTTCTAACCAAAGGAGGTAGACCCCACTGATACGTTGATTGATCACACATTGTTCCCTCCTCCCCTTACACACACACACACACACACACACACACACACAGCTGACCATAGTCACACCAGCCTCTCCTCCTCACCACCAGGACAAGTACTACTTGTGAAAAAGACTCTCCAGACCAAACACATTTGCTGTGATATAGAACTTATCAAACTTGACAACATTAACATTCTACACATTCTACAATTTTTTGCAGTCTACAGTATGTGAATGACATCATCTGGCAGGACGTGAGCAATCCAACTCCAGTGAAACAGTCTGTAGTGTTGAGTAAATTGTGAATTATTTTAATTGGTATGAGTTACAGGAATACTGCACACTATGAGCTTGGTACACTTCCAATTTGAGAAAACCAAATTTATCATCATCCAATTTACATGACCCTTCACAAAAAAACAATAATAGAGCATATTTTATCTGACTCCATGAATGAGTTTAAAATTAATGCCCTGAAGATGCCTGAACAGCCAAAACAAACCCCTAATCAAGTTATTAAAAGCAAATACAAATAAGATATAACCCAAATGATGAAGACATTTGCAAGATTTGTATTATCAGTCTTTTTTGATTTGTAGCTAAAACATCATTTATTCTCAATTTAAGTCTGTATATTCATGGAGGAGTGTGAATACTGTCTCACAGTAATCAACAGTGGACCTGTGTCATTTTGTTTAAGCAAAGAGGGGACCTCAGTTAATCTATACAATCTATTTTTGTTGTTTTAAATTTAAAGTTAAAAAAAATAAAAAATTCTACATATGAAGCCCTCTTTGTTCAGTTGCCCAGTGTAGAATTTGTGTTGTATTTGTGAGTCATATTAAAATAGATTAGTTTTTCTCTTCAAGATACATTCTTACAATGCAAGTTTTTTCTACATAATGTGTACTGTCCAGAGAAATTATTGTATACACAATCTGCATTATACTACAGGGTCCCCTCTTGTACTGTTAAGGTCAACATTTACATACAGTTATGCATGAGGAAGAACAGAAGAGCAAATTAGCACAGCAAATTATATTTATCAAAAAAATAATAGATCATATTTTATCTGAGTTAATGACTGAGCTTAAAATGAGTGCCTGAACAGCAAAAAAAAGTATAATTTAACACACGTTTCAAACCCTATCTTAGATTGGCAAATGTTTTTTTTTTATCTCTATCACAGTTAAATGTGTAAATATTGAAGTTAATTATCCCTTTTTGAAAGAAACAAAAGAAAGTCTTTACAGTAAACGAGCATTCATTTGGTGAAAGAATGGGTAGAGACAGTTAAAAATGTAACGTATGGAGGTCCCCTCTTGATATAGACATCACTCAAGAATACAAGTCCCCTCCTGGCAATTTCTTTAAAAAATTAAAAAGCACATTTGCAGTAATAATGTGTGTGTGTGTGTGTGTGTGTGTGTGTGTGTGTGTGCGCGCGCGCGCGTGTGTATAAAATAAAGAAAGAGCAGAAACACGTTCAGCACATACAACAAGAGGAACAGAGCAGAAGCGATCCGGTTTCTGTCCGTGGAATGTGGTGCAACACATGAACTGAATGAGGTTTTACAAAACACTCAATTCATCTCAAAGCTATAAAACCTACTTTAGTGAAGGTTGTATTTTGTGGTCACAGCAAATAATCATGTGAGGCACTTTGTAAAGCCCCCAGCTCTGGATTAAAACCATTTTTGGTGGTGCCAGATTCTCCCCATGGCCTTGGTTTAAATCAGGACCTTGGACAGGGCTTCAAAGAGCCCAGCTGGAGCCTGATAGTATTTAAAGGCTTTAAAAAAATACACCACATACTAATGACAGAGACAGAAGCACATCCGATGCATCGGGACTGCAGACAGTTGAACCTACTCTGTCCAGGCTCAGTCTACACAAACGAGATGACAAGTGGTAAAAGTTTAACAGACACTTTGGGCTCTAGTTTCCCGGCGCAGCGCAGGGTGGCGCAGGGTGGCGAACCCCGCGCAGAGCTAGTTTCGAGCAGCGCAACCCGAGGCCCGCTCAGTTTGGTAGTTTGGCAGACCGAGGTGCGCTGAGATGAGTGGGGCGGCGCAGCAGGGGGAGGTGCCGACAAATCCAGCTTGGCGCAGTGATAGTTTCGTGCCAAAAGGCTTCACCGAAGGTGCGCTAAAAGCTTGCCAGCTGAAACCAGGTCTACTGTCAGCACAGGCAGAGCACAGCCGGTGTAAACCGAAGTTTGGCTGACCGGCGGACAGTGCGCACACGTCACCAAAACCTCACAGGCAGGTTTCCAGAATATCAGGCATATTAACGATGCAATAAATAGCCAAAAAACACTATTCAATGCAACTATCTGCAATCAGCACATAAATGTATCTCTATATCGACTGTCCCGTCACATCTGATGTCAGATCAAAGGGGATTGGCACCGTTTGGCACGTTTGGCACGCATAATGGAAACCCAACCTGATTTGATTAACACAGCTGCTCTCAGCCAACCACAAACAGCCACAGCATCAGATAGGGAGTATATATTCAGCATCTGTCATCTTAGAAAAGTCAAAAGAAAAGAAACAGAGTGAGACAGCGAGAGAGAAAGAGAGAGCGCACGCGCGCACGAGAGAAACGCAACATTGATTTACAATTGTGGTGACCTCCTCCCGGGCTACCTTTGCATCATCAGCCCGTGGAGGTCTGCTCGCAGTTCCGTATATTCGGACACTGCGAGCTTGGACCTCCCGGACCAAAACATCAGTTTCCTCCTGGGAGAAGTTTGGCCGTCTGACGCAGCTGCTCTCTTCTGCCATGGCGAATTGAGTAAACTCTTATTATGCCTTTGCGCATTTAAGGGCGAGGAGAGGGGCTCATTTGATTGGTGTGATGTGGGTAAAACCCACTCCACGCCTTCTCTCCTCCCTCTTTCCGACTTGCGCAGGTAGGAGGGAAGGAGGTGGGAAAGAGGAGTAGCTGCGCCAGGCGCACGGTGTGCCAAACTTGCAAAATCCGCCTGGCCACACCCAGTTGGCGAAGCGCAGGTGCCTCGCCCGGTCTGCGAAACTAGAGCCCTATATCTTTATTAACACTGATGCTTAGTATGTGAAATCTCCTGTCTCCTGGGCAACTCCACCTTTAGTTTGGCATAAATCCATGTTTTGTTTTGGTTTTTTTTGCATAAGAAGAAGATTGACAGTTTACATTTTATTAAAACATCGACACAAAGCACTCACAGGACAGTCATTGCACTTTGTTTGGCTGTTAATGGGTTATTGCGAAATTCTTCCTTATCTATTAGAAAAAAAATCCTGATCCTGATCAAATTTGCATGATGACGTGAGCTAAACTTTCTGTTTCACATCAGTTTGGGGACACACACTTTCAGCGGGCAGGAGTGCTCACCTTGAAAGACAAACTCCTTCAGCCAATCAGTGTAACAAAACACCAGGGAACATCTTCACCACCAACTGAGTCAGTTGATAAATCAAGCTTTTGCCAAAATCCAGTGGAAAAAACAACGAAAACATACTTTCCTCTGAGAAAGTCAGTGAGTCTATGCCCCTGTCGTTCTTGGGAGCTGGGCATCTACTCCTTCTCCTTCTCCTTCTCCTCCTCCTCCTCCACCTCCTTCTCCTCCTTCCAAGGGAAAAATAAATAAATAAACCCTGCAAATTCTTGCAAAATGAAGCCCCAGTGTTCAGGTAAAAAAAAAGACAACATTTTGTTGTTTGGGTAGATGAAGTGTGTCTGATGTCAGAATTGTATTTTAAGAACTGAATTTATGACAGCATTTTGAATTCTGCTATCATGTAGCTATCAGCTTGTACCAAATGATCTACTGGAACCTTTGGAATTTTCACAGTAATAATGGGCCACTAACAAAATACAATGTTTATTATAGATCTATGACTGGAAAACCTTGGCACACAGTGCTGAGCTGCACCTCTCAATCTTTCAGTTCCCACATTTCATATGGTGTATACCACTTCTATATGGCATCTACTGTTGCTCAGATGACAACAGTCAGCAGTAGGACCTCCCCTAGAAACTTGTTAGCAGGACATTTTGTCAGGAAAGACACATTACTGTTTAGTAAGGTTCTCGGGGCCATGTTTCTAGGAGCCATTTACACTGGATATGACACTGAGTGATGGGATGTCCGTCTGAGCAGAGACAGACAATGGACTTTTCGCTCCTGGATTCCTTTCACTGAGCTGATATTTATGATAATATTGATCTTCAAAGAAATCTTGAAAATT